ATGTCGTAATTCTAGCCGTGTTGTACTAGCTATGCTAAGAGGCCATCTCAGACCCCGTACTTTAATTTCTGTGTGTATGTGGGGGTAGCCTATTCCAGGGTGGTCTCCAGTTTGGTCTGAAGTCAATGATGAGCCTGAACTTTGGGTCCTCCTGCCTTTGCCTCCTGCGTTTGAGCACTGGGATTACCAGTGTTTATGTGGTACTGGGAATCACACTTGGTGCTCTGTATATGCTAGGTAAACACTGTATCAATTATGCTATATTCCCAGCTCTAAATCTCAGTACTTGGAGTAAATATCATGTATTACTTGAGGTTGTACATTTCCACTGCTGGGGACTGACTGATGGACATGGGCTCAGTTTTAGCAACTGCTGGTTCCAGCTGCATTCGCTCTCATCTTAAGGCTAGTCAAGAGTTGATGACTTGGCTCAGTTCCCCTTGGCATGCCTTTGATCTGTGAGGCTGTGCTCCTTCATCTAGGATCAAGAGATCAATTATCCTGGCACACGCTGGCACTATCTTATGTGATATTAAAAACCATAAGAACATAAACCCGACCTTCGCTAAAACATTCCAAGATTCTGCTGTATTAAGAAGCTAGTGTGCCATTGGTTAGGTTAAGTTGCAGGGCAAAGCTGGGGGGTATTGAACACTCATATAGCAAAAGACACAGTTGGAGGGTGTGCTGGCTTATATCGGTATAGCATGACTAAACCAAGATTCACCGAGGAAAAGAGCCATGGGACATTCTTGTGAGGAATTGTCTTGATGAGTTAATTGGGGCAGATTACTTCCCTAAATGTGGGAACCCCCATTGGGTTGGGATCCTAGGCTACCTAAGAAGCCAACAGCTAGCTGGGCACCAACATTCCCTCTATCTACTTCATGGGTACTATGTGACCATCTGCCTCACGCTCCTAACCACCATGTCGTCCCCACCCATGATGGATTTTTCTCAAACTGTAGCCACCCAGATCCTTTCTCTCAGGTTGCTTTTGTCTGGATATTTTATTGCGGAAATAACAAAAGCAGCTATACAAAGTGGAAAAGTCAACTGGAGTCAGCAGTGGGGTCTCTCGGCCACTCCAGCTTCTGTCCGGGGATCGCCACCCCAAAGCAAGAGGAGGCAAGGCCGGCATGTCCATGAGTGGCAACTGGGAATGATATTAATAGTTTCAAATACAGGCTTCTAGAAATACTATAAAAACGTTAAAGAATAAGAAGGAAGCCGCAATATTCTGAATGGTTATCTATGTTTGCTGTCCAGGCATGTTTCTTTTGTCTCTTTCTTGTTAATGTGTTAGTCAGTGTTCTCTTGCTGGGAAGAGACGCCATGACCATAGCAACTCTTAGAAAGAAAAACATTTAATTGGGGCTGGCTTACAGCTCAGAGGTTTAGTCCATTGTTATCGTGGTGGGAAGCATGGCGCCATACAGGCCGACAGTGCTGGAGAAATAGCTGAGAGTTCTGCATCCAGACCCAAAAGAGCAGCATGAAAGAGTGCCACGCTAGGCCTGGCGTGACGTTCTGAAACCTCAAAGTCCATCCCCCAGAGACACACTTCCTCCTACAAGGCCACACCTCCAATAATGCCACTCCCTCTGAGTCTATGGGGGCCATTTTCATTCAAACTACCACAATCTCTTTTCTTCATCAATAGTATATCATTATGCCAAGGTTTTTCTTAGCGTATTACGAACCTTTCCTTTATTATTGAAAAGGCTTTGTAAATACGCCAATGTCTGTGTAAATATTGCATTGTATAGACAAACCATAATCCACCTCATCATCTTCTCCTTCATGGATTGGTTGTTTCCTACATTTTGTCTTTCTAAATAAGAGTGTACTGAGCATATGTATAAATTTTGATCCACATGTTGACTTGTTTCCTTCCTGGAAAGAATGCTGGTAGGAATGCAGAGATCTGGGTCTGACCTCAGGTGACAACAAGGGGCCTCAGGTGGCAATGAGGAGATTTACAGTCTGTAGAAAAGACACCATTGAGATTGGGCTTCATTTTAACTCAGAGCAGCTTCAAGATGGAGGACTGAACGGCAGTACTGGAATGGACGCATGATGGCGACACCAGTTGTTTTTCCTCATCTAAGCTTAGGGGATCAGAGCCTTGGTCTCCTCACTTGGATGACTCCTATAGTCTTTAAGAGAGGATGCTTCCTGGAGAGATGGCTCAGAGGTTAAGAGCATCGCTTGCTCTTCCAAAGGTCCTGAGTTCAATTCCCAGCAACCACATGGTGGCTCACAACCATCTGTAATGGGGTCTGGTGCCCTCTTCTGGCCTGCAGGCATACACACAGAATATTGTATAATAAATAAATAAACATTTAAAAAAAAATTAAAAAAAAAAAAAGAGAGGATGCTTCCTTCTGCAGGCAGGTACCATTGCTGGCTCCCTCGCCTCTGCTCCCAAGGCAGCTGTGATGATGTTTTTAGATAGGACCATGGTGCTGAGCATGAAGAACATGGAAAGAACTCCTTCCCTGTTTCTACATACATCTATTGACAATGGTTTTGCTCCAATAGAAGAACCAATTTCATCTTCCTTTCGGCCTTCAAGTTCAAGTGTACTTTCTTCATTTAACTTTGCCTGGTGTGTCTATTGGGAATTAAACTGGGTCACAGTCATTTTGATTGTAACATTAGGATATGTGGCCCTACCTCACAATTTGCTGGTCATTGCATGGAGCCATCTTCCCAGGAGTGACCCTTCTTCTTCATTTTATTATACCCAGAGCTACATTTCTTCTTACTATGTTTCTTATAGCCTCTTGTGGCAGACCATGTTCAGTTTGAGCTGTGAGTGTGATTTCTACGAGCAGCAGCTTTGGCATCTCACCGCTGACTGAAGACAGTGATCCACACCCTCTCTCTGCCTCTCTCTCTCACCCTCATTTCGTCCTAAACACACCTTCCTCCCGTCTTCTGAGCTATGGACAGTCTTCTTGTACCGAGCCTCCTTGCGGGAGAGTCATTAGTCTTTTTTTTTTTTTTAAAGATTTATTTATTATGTATGCACCAGACCTCATTACAGATGGTTGTGAGCCACCATGTGGTTGCTGGGAATTGAACTCCGGACCTTTGGAAGAGCAGGCAATGCTCTTAGCCCCTGAGCCATCTCTCCAGCCCCGAGTCATTAGTCTTCTTTTGGCCTGTGGTTCAGTTGTTTCTATAAGCTGAGCAGGGTGCCCATCTGGCCAGCAGAACTGGGTGTAAGTACAGTGTGGTCCCCTCCCTCTAGCAGCCATTAAAAGGTCCTTTGTTCCCTCCCAGCCCCTCCTGGTCCAGGATGTAGCCCACACCCTGTGGCGGAAATCCCCCCATCACACCAGACACTGGGCAGCTTATAGAACTGGCTCTGAAAGCAGAATGCCACCTTGTGAGTGGGAACCTAACCTTTTCTGTGCTCAAAGGATGTAGTTTATGGAGTTGGAGTTTATCTTTGTGAGCTTTTGCTTTCGCCAAGTTCCCATGCTCCTCTGTGTGATTGTATACCTCTCCCCACCCCCCATTTTTTTAAATAAGAAAACTGGAGCCAAATTCCTGAGTGTGTGTTCATGGTGGGAACTGCTAGGTGACCGAGTAGGCGGGGCTTGTTTTCAAAGAGCAGAGGAGCACATCTGGTTTGTGTGTGCCCCTTCTTAGTAAAGCCGGTGTCTGCTGAGGGCTGTGGGCTTCGGGAACTGCTGGCCTTTCCTTTTTCTCTGCATGTTTCCAGACTCTTGGCTCTCCTTCCTTACCCCACCCTCTATTCCTGCAGGGCCGGGCTGAGTCATTTGCTCTGAAGCAGTTTGGTGCAGCTTAAGTTTCAGAGCAGTGTGTCCAGGGTCTGAGGAGCCCCACTAGCTCCATCTTGCTGCTTAGCAGTTATCTCTCCCCAGGCCCGGTGATCATCATGAAAACCTGGGTGACAAGACAGAGCCCAGGCTCACCAAGACCCTGCTCTCCTCCCTAGATGAGTATTTCATCCATTTCAGCCAAGCAAACCCAGAACTTTCCCAGGGGTCTGTGCAATGGCTCTGGGTGCCTAGTTAGATTTGAGATGTAGATGGAGAAAATAGGAAAGGATGAAAACTAGGGAGTGGGAACTAAAAAAAAAATGAAGGGAGGAAGGATGGAAGGGAGGGAGGAAGGGAAGAAGAGAGGGAGGGAGGGAAGAAGGAAGGAGACAAATACCTGTGGAGAAGTCCTCTGTCCTGAGGCCTTATTTGCCAAACATTAGCCTCTTTCTTCTTTCTTTTGACTATACTTATTTATTATTAAATAGCATATTCATTTGGTTTGAAACCCCAAAAGTGTGACATGTTACATGGTTAAAAGCCTTTCCTCCCATCTCATTCTCTATGTGCATAACCCCTTCTTGCTATGCCCAGTGCACTGCTACTTTCCTATCAGGTGGTAACACAGCATGGCCAAGAGCCTATAGAAGAAAGGGTTTACTTGGGTTTATATTTCCAGAGGGTTCGAGTCCCTCATGGCAATGAGTCATGGCAGCAGGTATAAGATGGTGACAAGAAGAGATGAGAGCTGAGAGCTCACACCTTGAGCTGTAGGCAGGAAGATGGGGAGTGCCCTGTGATTGGCATGCATGGGTGTTTGGAACGTCAGCATCCACCCCAGTGACACACTTCATTTAGCGAGACCACACCTCCTCAGCCCCAAGCAGCTCCACCGACTGGAAATCAAGTATCCAGTCACGGGAGCCTGTCGAAGACAGTCTTATTCAAACCTCAAACCGCCACAGCCGGTTTCTGTCTTTTCCGTGTAACCCTTCCAACATTTCTTCAGGCTTATCATGTCTGGCCATACACAGCTAAGAGAATTCTTTCCTTGCTCTCTGTTTCCCCGTCCGTGTAGCTCTCCTCTCACACGCTTGTGTCCCTTCACTGCCTTCTCAGTAGTCCTTTCTTAGAACTGTGGTTGGGGAGTGGCCGGCGGTCACGTGTCAGATGTGCTCACGTGTGGTTGTCCTTTTCCCACAGAGGAAGTGGAGAGTGAGAAGTGGTACCTGTCTGCAGACTTTCCTTCAGCCACCATCAAGACAGAGCCAATCACAGAGGAGCAACCCCCAGGACTTGTCCCCTCTGTCACTCTGACCATCACAGCCGTTTCTACTCCCTTTGAGAAAGAAGAGTCTCCTCTGGATATGAATGCTGGGGTATGTCCAGTTTTCTTCCTTATAAATATAGATATCGAAAGGTAGAGATCTTTGGTCTGCAATAAAACATTTATCCTAGGAGATTCATGTATTTTGAGGGGGCATAGTCATGTATGTATGCATGCATTCAGGCATGTTTGTATGCATGAGCGTATCAAGAATATGTTGTTGTTAGCAACATTGATTATGGCAACTTTTGAAGGTGTTGTACAGAAAAATCAGTAGCAAAGATGATTTAATTTTTTCCTTAATTGCTATTATGAAATTGACAACACAGTAGAGAAGCTGTGCGTGGCATTGGCCTTCATTCCAGTGGAGGGGAATGGTTGAGGTACAAGGTCAGAAGAGGGCACTGGATCTCCTGGAACTGGAGTTACAGGTGATTGTTAGCCACTGGGTGGTACTGGGAACTGAACCCAGGTCTTCAAGAGCAGCAAGCACTCTTGACTGCCGAGCCACCTCTTCAGGCCTTGGTTGGTTCTGAAGTATGTGCATAACTCACTGTCAGGATTCTGTCCTTCTGCTCTCTCTCCCCTTTCCCTGTGGGTATTTTTTAGTTAGACCTTGCCGTCAGTCATCGAGGAGGCTGGAGGGATAGGACAAACGGGAAGCCTGTGACTCTTTGAAGTTTTACCAAAGTATTTTTACCATAGATGTCTTTATTATAGCACTGCTGCCACTGCCGCCAATAATAATAATAATAACAACAACAATAATAATAATATTGAGCCTTGAATTTTGACTAGAGCTATCAGATCTCAGGTTTGGCTGTGAGAAGGTATGATGTAGCCCATGCCTTACCGCGCTGGCCCATAGTAAGACACAGTTGACAGACAGATAGCCCCCGCCCGTTCTGTAAAGGCTGTTACTAAGTTATAAACTCATGTCTGAAATTCCTTTCCCAGGTGGATTCCTCCTGCCAGACAATTATCCCTAAGATTAAGTTGGAACCTCATGAAGTGGATCAGTTCTTAAACTTCTCTCATAAGGAAGGTATGCCCCTCACCCCTTCCTCCCTCACCCCTTTTTCCGTCACTCCAGGTGCCCATTCTAAAGGGAAGGGAGCCCAGTACATTCCAGGATTAAGGAGGTAACTGGCTGTACGGAGTAATCCTGTTCTTAAGAATCTTGATTCCAAAGAAACATTTTGAGAACTAAACATTTCCATAATAAAATTATTCCTCTTTATGTTCTTTACTGCCAGCCACCCGAGCATTAGTGGGGTTCAATGCTCACCAAGGATGGGCTTTTAGAGCCATTTCCGACTGCCATGGCATGCATGAGGTTGATGAGACCCCCCCCCGCCCCATGCTTTCACCCCCTAGTGTGAACCCACCAGCACCCCACGGGTACACCGCAGTCCACAGTGACTCTGGCTCAATTAAAACTTAACCCTCTGTAAATGAAGCTGTAACATGTCTGTACAATCAGAGTTTAGCTGTCCTATTTGGGTCACAATTGTGATGAGCCCGCCCCTTTTCTGCTTAGTAATGTTTGTGGTCCTGATGATGCACCTCTTTGGGCTTCTTGTCGTTCATTTAGAGCCTAACTACGCCTTGGAATTGTTTACTTTGTGTTCATTCTCTACATCATTTTTTTTTTCTGGCTTCCCCCTCTGTGTTCTCATATATAGCCGTGCTGGGATCCTGGATGCAGACCCTCCGCCTCAGGGGGGCACAGGAAGCTCTCAGTACCTCATTTACACAGAGCCTGGCGCACACTCCTCTTAAAATTCTGTGTCTGTTGGTGCTGCACCTTCCTTAGCTACACGTTCAACATATGTTTAGATGTGCAGTTCATTGCATGGTCAACAAAGCAGTCTGCATACACAATTGCAGAGAAGGCTCGCGTGTTACCTTCCTTCCTTCAGGACTCCACCCAGGGCTGGACTGGAGACCCCTGAATCAGGGTTGGCCATGACTGCCTTCACTGTGTGTAAAGAAGTGAAAAGTTAATATTTTCCGTCTGTATCGCGCCTTTGTTTTCATGTCTTTGAGCCCTAGCGTCTGCTTCCAGGCAGCTTCTTTCATCTTTATGGCTGCTCACCACCGCCAAATGGATCTTGTTCTTTTCGCTCTGTTGTGACGCGGCTCAGAAAGTGTCACAACTCAAACAATAGAGCCCCATAGTGGCGGCGGGATCTAGGGTCACCAGAGGAGAAAGGGCAATCCTCCCTCGTTATCCTGGATAAAGACAGATGAAGAAATTGAATATTCTGGCGGACATCAAAGTTTCTAGGCAGAATAGCTTGCTGTCCCCAGCTCCTTCTGCAGCTTAGGAGCAGCGTTTCAAATGATGTTTAGAAATCTGATCCCGGGACACCTGTGTCCAGATGGGCAGGCTCCTCCTGTCAGCCGGCTTCTCTCCTTTGGGGACTGCGCTCGGCTTAGAAAGGAGAAAAGCATAGCTTCGCCTGTGCCAGGCCAGGGGGCCGAAGAACTCTTGGTGTCCCTGGGAGTTCAGCTGGAGTCTCTGGTTGATTAATCTGATTCGTGGTGTCGTATATTCCTGGCAGAGGGGACGCCTTGGTAACCTTGGCTGATACTTATGACATGCCTACTTTCTGAGGGGACAGACTCAGCCTACCCCTGAGCTACTCAGTGGGCATACAAGCGTTCTCTGGCTACAGAGATGCTGCATGAAGCTGGGCCCCCTGGAGGGGCTTGGGGTGAGGGACCCTCGGATGTAAACTCCCTCAGCAGCAGCGGCTGGCAGAACAGAAAAATCCTGTTCAGAAGAAAAGGGGGGGGGGGAGCCCTCGGTGGAGCCCAGGTGTGTTCCCCATCCAGAAGCTATGGGATTCCAGCTGCCCTGGGAATCTGGCCTGAGCCCTGTGCGGTGTTCTCAGCCTTAATAATATGCCCTGAAAGAATGACTTTAGGAGAGACGGTACCTTGTACCCCCATTTTCTTTTCCTCTGACTACTTATCTGCCTAATGGTAGAAGTGGGGTTTCTGAATGAAGAATGCCTGGCCTCCTGCCTGCAGGCCCCACCAGGCACATTCCTCCAGAAACAAAGCAGTCTTTCTCCAAGGATTCCACGAGCCCTCTCAGGTTGGCAGTTTATTAAAAGATTGTTTTAAACCAACCACATATGGCTAACGCGGTTTGCACATCAACCTGTGTGAACCATATAAAAAGAATACAGTGGGGCTGGGCATGTCGCTCCGGTAGAGGGCTAGCATAGCATGCATGGCGACTGTGATTCCACCCCCAGTACCACATAAAACCAAGCATGGCCGAGTGCACTTTCAATTTCCACATTCCAGAAAGGGGGTGGGGGCAAGAGGAGTAGAAGCTCAAGGTCATCTTCAGTTATCCAGAATGCAATGCCAGACTGGGGAACATGAGTACCTGCTTCAAAATTATGTTGCAGAAATAAAATTACAAAGGAACACAGTGATCAGTCTTTTCAACACCATGCCGGGGGCACCCACCCTCCCAGGCCACCCCTAGAGTCAACCTTTTGTTAGTGTCTCACACACATGCCTGCCCGGGGTAGTTTTGTGCTTGGACTGGTAAGTGTGGCTCTATGTTCACCTTCTCTCCCTTGTCATACAAGAAGAGGACAACTGGATGTACCATTCTGTGCCTGGCTCCCTTCTCACCATGTCTTAAAGCACTTTTCAGGTCAGCCTAGAGAGAGTGCCCACCTGTGCACCCATCCCAGTCTTCGGGTGCAGAGACACACGTGTGTTTAACTGGGTCTCGTGTTGTGTTCCCTTTCTGTGATGGATGAAATGCGCTCTCTTCCTCCTCAGCTCCCGTGGATCAACTGCACCTACCACCAACACCTCCCAGTAGCCACAGCAGCGACTCTGAGGGCAGCCTGAGCCCCAACCCACGCCTGCATCCCTTCAGCCTGTCTCAGGCCCACAGCCCGGCCAGAGCCATGCCCCGGGGCCCCTCTGCCTTGTCCACATCTCCTCTCCTCACAGCTCCACATGTAAGTATCTGAGTGGCCCTTCTGAGGAGCCAGGAATCCTCTCAGTACCATTTTTCTCATTGTAATGAAATGTTTGTTTAGTGATTAGAAGCCTTTGTCCATGCTGTCTTGCTGAAACAAAATAACCAAGACTGAGTAAGTTAGGAAAGATTATTTTGTGGGTTTTGTTTGTTTGGGTGCACAGTCCTGGAGGTGGTAAGTTCCAAGAGCATGGCGCCTGTATCTGCTTAGCTTCTGGAGAGGATGCTCCGTGCTTAGCAGGAAAACGGAAAGAAGAGGGGAAAACACATGTACTAGGAGACAGGGAACCTGTGTAGCAGCATACCCCCGCGGTGACTAATCCAAGCCTGTGAGACCCAACTCACTTTTGCAAAAAGGCAATGACATGTATTCTTCATGTCCACTTTTCTCAGTGGCACCACACTGGGGACCAAGCCTCCAGGTGGGGACAGACTGGTCCAAGATGCAGCACCAAAGTGGGTCAGTAAGAGCCCTAAAGAACGTGTTTGTGAAGACGTGGCTGCAGATCTCAGTAATTCTGGTTTTCATGTTCACAGGCCTGGTTCTTACACATTCGTTTGTTTCCCAGGGCTGGAAGCCTAAGGCTTCTGTTCTGTTCTTTCCCCTCTATGTGCCAGCATAAACACTCGCCGTCTGTGTAGATGATGCTTACTTAGCGTGTACTAGGGAATGCCTTTCATCTTTCAGATAAGCGTTCTTGGGCGAAATTTGAAAAGAAAGTCTCTCTTTCTGAGATTAAGTTCTTTGATGTCAAAAGCTCAGAAACATAGTTTAATCTCTGTGTGTGTTGAGGGTTTGGGGGTTCTTAACCCAGGGTCCTGGGACAAAAATCACAGGTCATTATTCATCCCACACACATGTAAAAGGAGGGGTAGGGAATTCACATTTTAGTGGTCTGAAGAGGGAATCTGATTTCTATGAGGTCTTAAAAATTATGCTATCACAAAGAACAAATTTTAAAGATAATATTTTGTTTTTTGAGAATTTTGTGCATGCCCACAATGTATATGACTAACAGATATAAATGAAATATTTTAAGAAAGTATGGGAACCAAGATAATGTCGAAAGTCAGATTCATTTGTCCCCTGAGTTAGATCTTAATAATGTGTCTCTCACCTTTCCTTCGAACAAAAGAACTCACATCCCCCTTTTGCCTTTTCTACTTGAACCTGGCTTTAGGTTGTTGGAATTATTTTCATCTTCTGTACCTGCATCTCCTTCCACGATTTACCTGTTTTGCACATTCGGGGGGTGGGGGGGAGGCCCCTATCCCTGTACTCTTGCTAGCAGTCAGGCAGTGTTTCCAGCTAGGCGCCCTGTGGGGCCCAGAAACCTCTGCTTGTATTAAACAGGTCACCCTTTGCCGTCCCTGCCCCATGAGCCCACCTGCCCTGGGCTGAGGCATCTCCCGTTCCTTTTCTAAGTAGAGCACTGCCCTTCGCTTTGCTCAGACTGCGCCCCCCACGCCATCCTCAGAAGGCACCACTTCTCCAGAAAGCAGCCTTTCCCATCTCCTACTTTAAGGCTCCTCTCCTCCCGTGAACTCACACGGGTTCTCCCTCTCCAGAAGTTGAACGCTCCTCCAGTCAACATCACCCTTAGCACTGAACTGCTCTCCAGATTTCACGGGTGGTGCTTCTGCCCTAAGTCTTGATCCCGAGCCACTTCAGAGATGGGGTTTGTTTTCAGTTTTCCCCTCCCCCCCTCCCCCGTCCCACCCCTGCTCCAGTGACAGGGAGCATGGAGATTAACCCCAGTGAGTCAGCCTGTATGACTAACATAAACACGTCATTTTGTCCTGGGCTAAATGCAAGGACTTGTGGTTCTCATCTTCATTGCTAACGGGTAGCGCAGGACTCCCGGAAGCCTGAACTTCAATGAAAGATGCCTGCTGGTGACTCTCTGGGGCTCTAGGCCTGTTAGCTGTAAACCGAGGGGAAGAGCTACTGTGGTGTGGAAAGAACCGGTTATAAAATTAGCCCTTCAGCAGGAGAACAATACAAATCTTGAATGAAGCCGAGCTCCGAGGGAGTTTTCCATCACCCCTAAGCCTCCAGGGATATGGGGTGCGGATTCTATACTGTTACTTTGTGTGTGCTCGATATGGGGTGTTTCCCGGGAAACAGTGGATGGAGGCCTCTTCAGCCTTCCCTTTGTTTTAGGGCTCTTGGGTTGAAAACCCCCACTTGGGAGGCTGGGGAGGTGATTCATGGGATGAGAGCACTTGCCTGGCAAGCGGGAGGACTTGAGTTTGAATCACAAGCACCCACATAAAAACAGCCAGGCAAGGCTGCCTGTGTCTATGACATTAGCACTGGGGGTTGGGACAGATCGATACCAAGCGCTCACTGGCCAGCCAACCTAGGTGAAAACATCAAACTTGTGGTCTCATACAATTTAGAAGATGACCTATGTCCTATTCTGGCCTCCATATGTGCTTGCATGGGCACACATGCATACTCTGCATGCATGTATCATACACACACACACACACACATACATAGCACATGCTACACATGCCACACACACATAAGTAAATAAATAAATCTCCTATAAAGGCATATCTCTCTTGTCTTTTACTCAAAGCACCCACCATTAGGGAGCCATTGTGACGGGTTCTCCGTACTCTATGTTGAGGTCAGTTTCCAGCCACTCCTGTCTGACCATTCTCTGCCCCCCTTTGTCTGCACAGAAGCTGCAGGGATCTGGCCCACTGGTCCTGACAGAGGAAGAGAAGAGGACCTTGATTGCTGAGGGCTATCCTATTCCTACCAAGCTGCCCCTGACAAAATCTGAGGAGAAGGCCCTGAAGAAAATCCGGAGGAAAATCAAGAATAAGGTGAGCCATGACTAACAAGGAAGAACTGAGCCCTCCCCTGCACCCCAGAGTCCCTCACCTGCACCCCAGAGTCATAGTGGGATTTCCCAGAGCCAGGCCAGGAGCACAGACACCATCTGCCCATCCTTTCCAGCTCTTTCTGCCCAGCGTGGGTGTGAGCTCTTAAACTTGTATACTCCTTGTTATGTGATAGCCTGTTCAGAAGCAGGAAAAGATACAAGAATCTCCCTTTATGTGTCTTTTTGAAAATCCAAGTCTTCCAATTTTTATGTCTATAATATTTTTTCTAGTTGCTCTATACGTAATTTATAAACAACTGTAGCTTTATGCTGGATTACTTAAAGGTTTGTTTTCCTTGATAGTGGCCTGTGATAAAAACAATCTTCAGTAGCCACCTGGTCTCTGTCTGAACTCAACTGCTGCCCCACGGCTGAAGGCAGCTTGTGGGGCCCAGGCCTGTGACCCAGGCCAAGAGCAGGAGAGGAAGGCAGAGAGAGAACCAGAGTCACACCCCTGTGCTCTCATACAGGGCCAGCAGACAGTTTATACACATCCAGGCCCACTTGGCTGGTTTTATATATAATCGAGCCAGCCGAGGTCCAGAGAGCTGACATCATGTTTCTGGGCTATTTCAATGATCAGTCTGTGACCCAGGCATTTGTTGGCGGGTTTGGGAGGATCCGTTTGAGCCAGAAACAGAGCTGGTGATAAATAGACGAGAGTCCACAGGCTAAAGAGAAGCTGGCAGCCTAAGTTGTCCAGGTGACCTCCGGGGTTCCATCCACTCTGTTTTACTTACAAAAATGGAAATTCACGCCCCTACCCCTCATCTCACAGATTTCTGCCCAGGAAAGCAGGCGAAAGAAGAAAGAATACATGGACAGCCTGGAGAAAAAGTAAGCCTGCTCACTGACTGGTTGTGGTATTTTTAGGTAATAGTCACCAAGCAGGGTGAGGGGCTGCTTGGGGGCCACCATGCCCCCTCCCCCAGTGCATTGGCAGTGTTTGCCTGCCCCCTAGTGGTCATGTGGGAGGATCTGCTTAGAACTATGGCGTGTGAATCTCCCGCTTTCTGACCCTGATCTTGAATACTTGTTGCTAGGCTCCCTGAGCAATCCTTAGATACTAGCATACCTGAAACTCCTCAGAGACGCCCAGCTTCAGCCTACAGGAGCAGTGTTGTTTACCCAGGTCCTGTTGGCCTCGAATGACACGAATCACACTCTGGTATTTCCTCTACTCTGCAATACATGCCGTGGGCAGACAAATTTTTTTAATTTTTTTTTTTTTTTTGTAAAAATACATGAAGGCACCCTTTGTTCTTTTGAAAGCCCTGGTATGCCCCGAGGGCTCAGAGGGAAGTGTGAATTGAGCCCCATCTCTACCATCTCTAGGACGTTGGTGTGACTTTGAGATAGGGAGGAGGTTCTAGAAGACGCATAACTGAGTCTTTCTTATTCGCGCATGTGCGCTAAGACACTGGCTAGCTTCCAACTGATTCTAGAAGTTTCTATGGGAAGCAGTGTGTCTGTGACCTGATTTAGGTCCTGTTCTATAATCAAGGTTGTTTCTGCGGGTCTCTCTTCTCTGCCTCTCTGGGCACGTGGGCTCCCAGCACTTCACTGGCCTGGGCTCTGGTCCTGCCTTTCACACAAGCTCTAAGCTCTGTAGCAGACCTCACCAGAAGTGCCGCTCGCTGGTGGCTCTCCTTCCTGTAGTGCAGTGATGACTGAGAGCTGTGGGAAGAGATGAGGAACCAGATTGAGCTGCCTAACAGGGGTTCTGTGTCCGCCCCGTGCTCCTCCCTAAGAAGAGCCCTGGCCTGCCATGCTGTCCCTCTGAACTCTCATTCTTTCTTCCACTCAGACTGTCTCAGCTCTTCCTCAGTGACCACTCCTGCCTCTTTCTCTGTGATGCCAATCACCTCTACACTAGTTCCTGGCTGAGCAGTTGCCCTCTGGAGAGTGACTGTGTGTCTTGGCTCTCTCCCCTCAGGGTGGAGTCTTGTTCAACTGAGAACTTGGAACTTCGGAAGAAGGTGGAGGTGTTGGAGAACACCAATAGGTGAGCGTGGCCAGAAGAAGGTGGGAGGACCTTTGTCCTGGGCTATGTCCAGTGAGCAGGAGGGAAGGGGGATTCTGCTATAAATGGGGCTGTACCTTGGATATTCAAGGAGCTGGGCACCACCCAGCGGTTCTGTTTCATGGGCTCCTCACATACACACAGGTGTATACCAATCCACATGTGCACATACCACATGCGTGTTCCTTCCTTTTGAAGGACTGGTAGGGAGGACGATCAAACACGGACAGTTATAAGGAAGCGAAAAGAGAATGGGCCGTGCGTATAGCCCAGTCCTAGAATGCCTGCCCTAGAATGCATGGGGCCCCAGGTTCAGTCCCGAGTGCCACAGAACAGAAATGAATAAGGAAATGTTGGGAGGGCTTGGAGCAGGATGGCGTCCCTAAGTCTGATTCTCCTGAAAATGCTGCTTGGTTTCAGGGGTGGACGAGGAAGCACGGGGATTTAGTGTCAGTTAAACATAACGATCATCACGTTTATTAGTTTAAAAAGAGACTCATGGTTTTGGAAGCCTGTTTTCAAAATCCAATGACTTACATTTCAGTCCCATTTTGAAAAATTAGCTGTGGCTCTCAGTTGCTTTATCGTCCTTAATTCTATTGACATTTTCTATGTCAGTTACTTTTTTTGGGCACATCGGAGATATTGGCTCATTCTTGTGAGATGGTATGAGATTATCCCCGTTACCCAGATGAGGTCTGGGACACAAAAAGGCTATGTTTTGCCCAGCACTGCTCAACAATTTATCCCTGTGGATTTCAATACAGAAGGACCCTACTCGGTTTAACTCTGGCTCATACAAGGGACTGGGATGGGATAAGGTATGTTATGCATGATTCAGAATGTGGGCATGCATGGTGCCTCCCTGTGTTCTGAAAATGTCATTTGTTTGTCAGAGAGAACTGCTACCCTTAGTGATAACTATAGGTTCAATAAACAAACAGAAAAATTCACTGGGAGCTAAGAAAATACGAATTAGCTAAGAAAATATTAATTTGTTGAGCATTAATGCCTAATAACAAAATTTCAAAGGCTAAGGGGTCTGACTAAATCTCTTCAGCAGTGACTTTGAGCTCTCAACAGCGACTTTGCATTTGAAGTCTGTGTCCTGTGGCTCTGTGGTTTTTTGCTTTAACAGTAGGCTGAGGAGTTGAACTGGTCTCAATGAGAGTCCACTAGATCCCCTCTTGGTTATCTGATACTCACAGAGGGGGTCAGGTGCTCTTTACCTGACCCCTGTGTGTCCTCAGATTGCCTGAGGCAGGATCAGTCCCCCCACCCGCCCGTGACATCACCCCAACCTGGTGGAACTTCCTCATACTGTAAAACTCTGTTTTCATTGCTGCTCGTCTCTGACCCCCATTCTTCTGAGTCACCTTCTTCCCAGGCGCTTCTGGTCCTCTGGATCCTCCACCTCAGCCATTCCTTTAGCGTTCTGTCTCCTGCCTGTCACTTGGCCCTGGGCTGGGGAAGGCCCAGGAGGAAATCCATCAACATTATTCTTGCACTTTGTGTCTGTCAGGCTCGGCTGTTAGACATCCAGTTGGCCACACGGGGGCAGCAAAGCCTCAACAGGGCTGTGTGGGGACCAAGAAGAAGCCTGCTAAAAAGAGCCCACAAACCTACTGCCCTGGGGGGGGGGGGTCTCCTCCCCTCTCCATCTGGCTACACTTTGCTTTGTTTGTTTATTCCTTGATTGCCATGAACGTTTAAAAATGTATCCATGCTTTTCACCTCCTAAATGCTGGGATTACAGGTGTGCACCCCCACGTCCAGGCGTGAACATTTTTTTAAATTTTTGTGTGTTGACTTAAATCAGGTATCCACACATCAAAAGGTTCAAATCAGCGTAGGCATTCATTGCTTGTCTTCTTATCTTTAACATGCAGATTATCTTCCAAGTCTGTATTTGCTTAGTGCAGAGCCCAGCCAGTCATCCCACGGCCTCCGCAAGTCTGGCATGCCTGTGGTGCCCTTTAGACAGTCCTGTGTTCACTGTGGACTGCTTTGCTTTGGTTTTGAGTTTAGGTATGAATTCCTTCTAGGGTCCTCTCATCTTCCTCGGGAGGTATGGGAACACTCGTTTTTCTGGTTATCAGCAGTTTCTAGTAAGTACCTAGAGGAAGGGATCTATATTTTTATTAATAGCGTTGTGGGGCCCGATGCATGTGTATGCATGTGGCTAGCTATTGAAATCCGTATCGTTGTCTCTCACTTTCCACCTTGTTTTTTGAGACAGCCTCTCTTACTGAACCTGGAGCTTGCCATTTCTATAGACTGGCTGCCCAGAGAGTCCCCAGGATTCTGCATTACTCCCCCAAACACCAGAGCTGGGGTATCTAGAGCACACTATGACACCCATCTTTTATTTTTTTATTTTTTGGTTTTTTCGAGACAGGGTTTCTCTGTGGCTTTGGAGCCTGTCCTGGAACTAGCTCTGTAGACCAGGCTGGTCTCGAACTCACAGAGATCCGCCTGCCTCTGCCTCCCGAGTGCTGGGATTAAAGGCGTGCGCCACCACCACCCGGCTATGACACCCATCTTTTAAAGGGACACTGGCCATCCAAATTCTCCATGGTTGTGTGGCAAACACGTTACTCATTGGACTGGAGTGCTCGCTGGGGCTCACTGGCCAGTCAGCCTCACCTACTTGGTGAGCAGCAAGGGGGACACCTCTGGCCTACACACACACACACACACACACACACACAAATACACACATTCGATATATACTTATATCAAATGCCTATTTAAACCTCAGAATTCTTTGGATTTGGCTCTATCATTACTTCTTGGGATAATTTATATGTTTGTGTTTGTATTGTACATATTTCTTTGTTAAAAATTTTTCATTGAACAACATACGCTGGACATACTCCATGGACATGTTGCTATAGCTCCTCATCTGGAACTCTGGCTCAGGCCATTGGCGTTTGGCCCTTCCCTGGCAGTGGCTGTCACTGATTGCAGTCAGGGCTCGTATATTGGCACTGGCCAAAGCAGAGAACTGGTTTAGCTTGTTTTGCTGTGTCTTTAGCTTTACTAGGCTGTAACTGACAGATAAAGCTGTACAGTTTGGAGCATCATCACTCAACATATGTGTGCGTTGTAAAATGGTTATCATAGTGTAGTAGATTACAACCCCCAGCACACACCACACATGTGCTTATCTCTCTTTTTCTGTCATGTGGATGCTTAAGGTCAACATAAGAGTTAGCAGAAGTCTTACTCCCGGGCCATCAATTGCAGTGACCCTCTGTACTCACAGAAGCTTCTCACCTCAAAGCCTCTGACAACCCTCTCCCTCCTTCCCCAGCTCCCAGTCCTCTGAGCCAATGTCACATTCTTGTTTCTGAGTATGGCTTTTTAGCGAATCATTCTGTATATAAACAGTGCCATAGTATTTTTCTGCTCTGTCTAGGCTCTCTCACTCTCTCACAGGGAGCCTCTCTGGATAGCCAGCCCCACACTTTGCTAGCCTTGACTGCTAAGAACCTCCGTGTGGCTTCCTTGTGAGTCCCTGCTACTCTCTTCCTTTTCTCTCGGTTCAAAGTTAGCTTCCGGTGAGCAACCTTTATGCGATGGTGTTGTCTAGAATTTGATTCCTTGACAGTTTTACCGAGAAGTTCCTCCGGTCATCAAGTCCATGACCCATATTTCATGTACTTTGGCTGAAAAGGCAAATGTGTAGAAGAGCTGTTCTTGCTGAAGCATGGGCTCTGGTGCAGCCTGCCACCCCACCCCACCTCTTCTCTTCTGCCCTCCTCCTGTGTCTTGCAAGGGCCTCCCCTTGCTAATGACTATGATGCAATCCCCGATGCCCCATGCCCTGACCCCAGCTGCAGAGAGGCAGGTGGCCGGGGAGGCTTCTGGATTCCTCATCACATCACATAGTGTTTGAACTGAGCACAGACCTGGCCTGGATGCACACACAGCTGTGTTTTTGCTACTGTTGACACTTCTCCCCTCACTGTCCTTTGGGCAGACGTAGAAACAGAAGGCAAATGTCGATGGGGACTCAGTTACAAGAAGCGGGCCGGAGACATGGAGTGGCTCCATTTCATGGGACATGCATGACACAGGAGTGGACGTTTCATCACTAGAGGGAAAGAATGCCTCTCATAGCTAAGATACCTGGGTATCTTAGCTATGAGAGGCAAAGAGTGCTGCTGGGGTTCTGAGCCAACCTGGGCTCTGTGTGCACCAAATTCAGCAAGAGACTCCTGGCATGTTGGTGTCTAGGGGAAAGGTCTCCCTTTTCTGAGCGCAAGACCCTGGGTGGAGGCCAGGCGGGCATGAGGGTAGTGTCCCTGTTTCCTCTCTCCCCGGAACTGACACATGGTGCTTATGTACCTACGTGCCGCCTTTAGTAAGATGGCCCACTAATTGCATGCCATCCAGGAAGCGAAGAGGGAAGTGAGATGGTGTCCCAGGGGACCCTTCCTCCTAAGCTCCGTCAGCAAGTACATTTGCACTTAGCTGTGCCAGTTGGGGCTGCTGGAGACTCTGCTTCTCCGAGCTTACCGCTGGTCTCTCGGGGAAGGCCCCACCCACCCCTGTCTCACTCCCGAGAACATCCTGTTCTTTATCCCTGTGGCCGCTTCGCCTAAGTGATGCACATATCCCACCCAGCCCACCACGAGAAAGTGTTTGTGGCTCAGTTTGTGCCATTCCAATCATCGCTTGTTTTGTTCTGCCTCTAAAAGCCTATGGGCTCCGGTCCCTCTCTTCCTGCCTCGATTTTCAGACTCTTAGGAAGTTGGTCTTAAAATGCATCTTGGAGAACGTGTTGGTTCCCTGCCAGTCACTGTAAGGCGCAGTAAGGCTGAAGTCATAAAAGTAGCGGAAAATAGCAAGGGGACCGGAATTCAGCCCCTTGACTGTCACCCTAATTTGATGTGCCTCCCAGTGCCGCGTTGTTGCTGCCCTCTCCTTCTACCCAGCGTGGGACAAACCTGGCTAAGAGAGCCTCTGCTTTAGAG